AGTGTTTCGTTCTGCTGTGCATGGGGTCGCTATGAGTTGGAAACGACTCGACGGCACTTAACAACAACAACAACAATTAATGTGAAGGTTGGCGGTTCTAACTCACCCAGTGGCACCATGGAAGAAAGGCCTAGTGATTTATTGCCAAAAAGATTACCGCCAAGAAAACCCTATGGAGCAGTTCTACTCTGTAACACAAGTTTGCCACAAATTGAAGTTGATTCAACAGCAACAGGTTTGGTTTTCTTGGTTTTATACTGACTAAATTCTAGCAGTTTTTCAGAGCTGTTTGTGCATAGTTCATATCATCGTCTTTGTCTCATCAGAGCCATAGGGTTGTTTTCCTGATTTTGATAAGGATCATTTCTGCAGGAAGGAAGTGTTTGGTTAAAGGCAGTTTTGCTGGGTGGATTCCACAGTGATTTAAGGTGGAATTCTGCCAGGTAGCTAATCATTGCAGTAGTTGCTGGGCTTGTTAGGTAAGTGGGGGGATGAAGACAAAATCTCTCAGGTGATTCACTGCAAGCTTTAATGGTAGATTTCTATCATAAGTTAGGTGAGCCAGCATTTGACCTTTTTTTTGGTGAGTAGGAAATGGTTTCCCCTTGATTTCCCACAACATTTACAGTTTCCTGAAGGTCTCATATGTATGGTTTAGTTGAACACCCACACCTCATCACTAGGGCTCCTAATGATGTGATGACAGGTGAAGAGGAAAGAATTCTCACCAGTTTTCAAAAGAAATGGGATTTTCAGTATAGCAGAGCTGTGATGACACTGGAATCTGGAATGTAGGTTTGTTTCCAAGTGTGTCATTTAATCAAAAAGGCAGTTAGCTTCTATTCAAGGAGGTCATAACTTGCCCTCGGCTGTAAAAAATGTCCAGTTAGTGCTGCAGTGATTGTATATCGGGTCCTGTCTCTGATTACAGACTTTTTAGTAGCTTGTACTCCAGCCCAAAGGTGTAGCAGGCTTTAAGACAGGGTGTAGTTGGTGTCCCTTTGGGTCTCTGAGGAGCTTTGCTTATAGCTTAAGTGGTATTAAACCGAACCAAACCAAACCCACTGTCATCTAGTCAATTCCAATTCATAGAAACTCTAAGAGTAGAACTGCCCCATAGGGTTACCAAGGTTGTAATTTTTTTTTTGGAAGCAGACTGCCACATCTTAATCTCAAGGAGCAGATGGTGGATTTGAACCATGAACCATTTGGCTCACAGCCAAGTGCTTTAACCACTGTGTCACTTTGTTGTTGTTGTTGTTATGTGCCATCGAGTCGGCCCCGACTCATAGCGACCCCTCCTTGGGTTTCCGAGGCAGTATCACTAGGGCTCCTTAAATGCTAATTAAGTAAGGCTAAACCTGAAGAGGGTATTGAGGGAGTGCTGGGTGCTCGGGGAATAACCAAGCATGACTTTGAATACCACCTTTGCTAGAGTGACTGCTGTGAAACCAGCACATCTATTTTGAGTTTTCCTTACATTCTTTTCCCATTTTCACCCTCCTCTCCCCCTGGCAAACAAATACCTCATGAGTTTGTATCAAGCACATGACTGCAGGCATTTGCATTAGACCACCATTGTGACTGTCACACTGGAGATTAGATAAACTGCAGTTGCATTCATGTTTCTCCCAGCAAAAGCTGAACAAAAGAAAAGCAAGTAAGACTCAGCATAAAAACAGTTTAACATAGAGGTTGCAGGATGCTTCCATAGGGAATATATATTTTGTGAAGGAGAAGGTAGAAATTAATATAGGTATTTCTTTATACCTTTAAGTCACTGTGGTAAAAATTAACAATGAACCTATTTAGGGACTACATAGTAGATAATCCTCTATTACCTCTGGTCTTTACAGGACATATTTCCATCACATACTGTGTGTGATTTAACAGAAGCTCCCATTTCAGGGTTTTGGCCACTTCATTCTTCACATACTGAACCTCATGACTGTCTTTCCAATTACCTCTAAAGGAGTTCTAGCGGAGGTGTGTCGTTAAAAGCACAAGCCCGACCTTTCCAAATTAATTTATTTTCTTAGTTCAGTTTGCTTGTTAAAAATTTAAATTTGAAATGACATTCTTTCTCCTCATCAGTTTCACAGATTATGACTTTAAACACACTGCCCTCCTCCAGTTGGACCCAACTCGTAAAGACCCCTCCTTGGGTTTCTGAGGCGGTATCACTACGGAAGTAGATTGCCCAACCTTCCTTCCGAGGAGTGGCTGGTGGGTTTGAACCACCAGCCTGCTCGTTAGGCACTATGCCACCAGAGCTCCTATGACTCTAAAAGTCTTCTAATAATCAAAATAGGGATTAGATCTTGTTGGATGCTCTTAAAATATGAATTGAAATGTAAATAATAGTTGCATTATTTAAGGAGCATAATGTCTTAATACATAACCACCACTTTTCTCTGGTATTCTTCTTCAGCATTACTCCTCCCACCCCAGTGCTCTCAATAACCTTGTTTTTGCCATCATTAGAAAGGAAAAAGAGCTTCTGTTTTTCTAATCAACCTGGACACAATTCCTTTAAAGAAGGAATTCCTAATGAACGTGCTTGATGTACTTAGCAGTGCTTTAGCATGTCTGTCTCTTTACCCAGGACACAGAGGATGTCCCTATTAACGTGTCAGCCAAGTGCTGTCAAGGAAGCGGCAGTGTGAGCAGCAGCAGCAGCAGCAGCCTCTCTTCCCAGAGTTCTTCGGGGGGATCTTTACAGAACTCTAAGGAGCAGCTCCCAAAGTACCAGGTAAAACTGTCCCTTCGATAGGAAGACTCTATGGAATTAAAGCCATTTATTATAATTTCTTTAAAGGGAATAATGCCTTTTTGAGGATTCCACTCCAGGAATAAGAGAATAAAAGAGGTAAAAGAATATACTCTTAAATGTTTTATGGCAATGCTGTTTTAAACCATACACTTTTTTTTTCTCAATAAAAAGGTAATTGAGCACAGATAATAGAGCATAATACTTTGTGCCCCCCCAAAAATATATGTTATAAATTCTAACCTCTATACCTGTGGTTATTGTCCTCTTTGGGAATGGTTTGTCCTTATTATGTTAATTAGGCAAGGTTTGTATAGGGTGTATTTCCAGTCATTCTTTTTTTTAAAATTTTGATTTGGATGAAAGGTAACAGGGCAAATTCATACACATTTTGTTTTGTGATATTGATTATAGTCCCTACAATGTAACAGTTCTCTTCCCACTTCCTCTGTGTGGTTACCTTTTCCCTATGTCCTTCTTTCCTATGCAGAAAATGCCCTCTGAGCTATCTCTAAGGAGTGTGCCTACCTGCTATAAATCTTCACCTTATACACCTGTCTGTTGTTTGGCTGGAAGCCATGGGAATAAGTTCAATTCCAGGCTCAAAGGGTGATTAGGAGCCATAGTCTTGGGGTTTCACCAATCTCTGTCAGAACAGTTAGACTGGTCTTTTTAATGACTTTGAATTTTGTTTCATATTTTTCTCCCATTCTATCCAGGATCTCCAATTTTGATCCCTTTCCAAGTGGTTGGCAGTGGTAGCTGGGCACCATCAAGTTCTTCTGGTCTCAGAGTCATGTAGGCTGAGTTTCCCATGGTCCACTAGTCCCTTGGACTAATTATTTCCATGTGTCTTTGGTTTTCTTTACTTTTCTTTGATCCAGACAAGGAGAGACCAATCGTTGCATCTTAGGTGGCTGCTCACAAGCTTTTAAGACTGCAGTCATTACTCACCAAACCATTTTGACTCATAGCAACCCCCATTGGGTTTCCTGGGTGGTAAATTTTTATGAAAGTAGATTGGCCCACCTACTTTACAACCAAAATAGGCTGTAAAACAGTGTTTTCGTGTAGTATGTTTTGCCAATTGAGCTTGATGTCCCCTTCAAACATGGTCCTGAGCTGGTAGGCCCAGTGACTCATTCCCTCAAGGAGTTTGGTTGTAGCTAAGAAGTTATCATAACTTTGCCTCTGTTAGCTCAATTATATACATGGGCATTCTTACAGCACATACAATTAGGTGTCTAGAAATATCATCTGCCAAACTTATATATGGTCATGGTTATATTCCCTTTCGCCTATGCATACCTGATCATGTATCCACCCCATAGATTAATGTTTGTTTTTACTCGAGTCAACCTCTTTTGAGATTAAACAAGCAAGCCAGTAGAGGAGAGATATGAGGGTAAGATAGATACTAAGACACATGGAGATCTCCAATGAACCAGGAAGCAGAAGCTGAAGAGACAAGGACATTTTTCCAGAGCCAGCAGAGATGAAGTTTCCCCCTAGAGCTGACACGCTGAAGGGGACTTCTAGCCTCCTAAACTATGAGAAAATAATTTTCTGTTTTTCAAAGCCATCCATTTGTGCTATTTCTGTTATACCAGCAGTAGTGAACTAAGGGCCTTACTGAATGAAGACAGAATACTGCAAAGAAGTAAATTGTGTTGTGTGGTTTCCTTTGTTTTCAAAGATAGAAAAACACATATGTATTTTCCACTTTTCTTACAAGCATTTCTAAAGATTCTGGGGCTGCATATAGGGATCCTAAGAAAGTTGGACTTGCTACTAGAAGGAAGAAAACTTTGTAGGTGAAGAAAGAAATGGCAAGACCTATCTTGAGCATGAAGACTAGAGGGCTGATGACTTTTTTATGCTCTGTGTGTGTGTATGTGTGTGTAAGTAGGGCGACTGAGGAGAGGGATTTAGGATTATTGAACAAGGCTCACTGGAAATAAGAAAGGAGCTCTGGTGGTACAGTAGCTAAGGCATTTGGCTGCTAACCAGAAAGTTGGTAGTTTGAGCCCATCAGGTACTCTGCAGGAGAAAAATGAGGCAATCTACTTCCATACAGATTTATAGCCTTGGAAACCATTTAGGGCAGTTCTTCTCTGTCTTACAGGGTTGCTGTGAGTCAGAATTGACTTGATGGCAGTGGGTTTGGTTTTTTTGGTTTGGATGTAAGAAAGTAGATGTCTCATAAATATTGAATAGCTGCCAAAGGGGAAAGGAGGCCCCATCTTCTGACCTCCTCTAACTCCACAAGAGGAAGATAGAACCATCATCAGTAGCCCAAGGCCTAACCCTGTGAGGCCAGACATGATGCCTCCTCCAGCCCTTTCACCAACCCTGACACCAACCATTCCTCCCAAAGCACCCCCTACCTCTCTGCTGGATTTGATACAGATCTCACAGATTATGGGGTTTATTAGCGAGGCATCAGGCTACAATTCAAGTTCAGGAACATGCTCAGTCTCTCTCAGCCCACCATCTCTCAGCCGACAGTCTCTCTCAATCTCTCTCCTAGGAGTTCATGTCTCTCAGTCTCTCTCCCAGTAGCACGTGTCTCTTGTACCTCTCAGCTGGCAGTGAGAGATTCCTTCTGCCTCTAGGAGGGCTCCTTTTGAGCCTGGCAGAGTGCCCAAACTAACCAATCCCAACATCAGAATTCTATACACCTGAGAAGGAGCAAACTTCCCCAAAAATTCATGCTGCTCCCAACAGAAACACCCCAGGTGGATAACTTTAACAATGAGGAGCTCTTCAGTTGCTCATGGCAAATCCACCAATGGAGTTTACAAAGACTTATGCCTAGAAAAGCCACACTATATAATTTACTACACCACAATACCAGAAGGGTATTGCTTGATGAGGGATATATCAACTTTTTTTTTTTTAGTTGCTTAGAAGAATAATGAATGCATTAAAATGTCTAATTAGGATTCAGAATATCTGGACAGACAGCAATAGATAAAATCCAGCAAGGACAACTTTATCAGGAATAAATTAAAATTTGTGCTCTTGTAGTAATAAAGCAAAAGAAAAAGAATGCCATGCTTTAAAAACCAAAAACAAATAACCAAGCATACAAACTATTTAGAAACCATAGGATAACTAAGATTAATTCTAGCAGAGGCACAGGTAAAATAATCTTACGGATTTTGTTTGACCATAACCTCAATAGGAGTTATTACTCTGATGCTGATGCTCAAAGACCTAGTGTGATCTTAGTCAATATCAGTATTTATCAGACATTTCTTTTCATTATTGCTGCTTCTTTTTTCTATTGTGATTTGGGTGAAAATTTACAGAGCAAACTCACTTTCCATACAGCAGATAACGTACACTTTGTCTCATGACATTGACTACAGTTTACCACAATGCAACATCTCCTCTCATACTTCCTCCCAGGAGTTACCTCTTCCCTGTGTCCATCCCTCCATGCACTCCTGCCCCCTTGTGCATAAACAGCCCTTCTTTTTCCCAAGATTGTTCTCTCCAAGGAGTGTATCTACCTCAAGTACATGTTCAACTCATATGCCTGTCTTTTGTTTGACTGGAAGCCACAGGTGTGGGTTCAATTTCAGACCTGAAAGGCAGCTAGGGGCCATAGTCTAAGTTGTTCCACCAGGCTCTATCAGACCAGCAAACCTCGTCCCTCTTTTTTTCCTCCCCCCAAATGATTTTGAGTTTTGTTCCACATTGTTCTCCCTCTCTATCTAGGATATTCTACACAGGTCCCCTTCCAAGTGGTTGACAGAGGTAGCCAGGCACCATCTAGCCCTTCTGATCTCATAGTCGTATAGGCTGCGGATCACATGGTGTACCAGTCACTGGGACTAATTGTTTCCATGAATCATTGGTTTTCTTCATTCATCTTTGCTCTGGACAAGGAGAAACCCCTCATTGCATCTAGATGGCTGCTTGCAAGCTTTTAAGATCCCAGTCACTATTCACCAAAGTAGGAGGTGGAACAATGTTTTGTGTAGTATGTTATGCCAATTGAGCTTGATGTCCCCTATGACTGTGGTCCTGAGCCCACAGGTTCAACTACTCTGTTCCTCTGGGTAGCTGGCTGTGACCAAGAAGTGACTACAACCTTGTCCCTTGTCAGTTCTACTATACACCTGGGAATTCTTACAGATCATACAAATACACTTATAGGACCACTGTCTGCCAACCCTATACATGGTCTTGGGTACACTTCCGCTTCGTAGACATACCTAGTAGTTCAGTCTGTCCACCCATCTATCCACCCGTATACCCATGTTTGCCTTCACTGACAACACAGTACTATAAGTGCAAAAGGGTTCATCTTTGTTGTCTGTACCTCCCATGTACCTCTCCATGTCTTCCTCTTCCTCAGTGCCACCATGTTGATCACTCACATTTGGTACATTGCCCTTCTCTTCATCCAAGTCAATACTTATGTCTACCTAACTAACAGTGTTCCCTCCACTACCCTCCCACCCCTGGTAACCAACAAAGAAAATTTCCTTCCATAGCCTTTCCTTGACTTTTACAATAATGGACTAATAAAATATTTTTCCTTCTGTGATTGACTTATTTCACTCAGCATAATCTCCTCCAAGTTTATCCATGTTATGTGGTGTTTTGCAGATTCTAGGTTATTATTTAGTGTTGTTGTATAGTATTCCATTGTGTGTATCTACCGTAGTTTGGTTATCCATTCCTCAGCTGATGGGCACCTAGGTTGTTTCAATCTTTTGGCTATTGTAAATAGTGCTGCGATGAACATGGGTGTGCATATATCTGTTCTTGTCATGGCTGTCACTTCTTTAAGACTTATACTTAGTAGTGGAACGACTGGATCAAATGGTATTTCTAATTCCAGCTTTTTAAGGAATTGCCATACTGCTTTCCACAGTGGTTGTACCATATTACAGTCCCACTAGCAGTATATGAGAGTCCCACTCTCTCCACATCCTGGCCAACATTTGTTATTTTGTGTCTTGTTG